AATAGAAAACGAACAAAATAATTGTCAAAATAACTAACCAAATAGTAAAAAAAAAAATTCAAATAATCCCAATTAGTTAGGAAAAATAACTAAAAGAGTATAAACAAATTATAAAAAGAAAAAAAAAATAAAGAGAGTATAAACAATAAAATAAAACTAGAGAGGAAACATAAATTTAAATTAAGAAACAAATATTGAATGATAAAACAAAAGAATTTTTCTAAATTGAAAAACAAAAGATTAGAAATAAGTTTACTACATACAAAATAAATTTACTACATATCACATACAAAATAAGTCTACTACATACCACATAGAAAATAAGTTTACTACATACAAAATAAGTTTACTACATACACAATAAGTTTACTACATACAAAATAAGTATACTACATACCACATACAAAATAAGTCTACTACATACAAAATAAGTCTACTACATACATAATAAGTCTACTACATACAAAATAAGTTTACCACATACAAAATAAATGTACTACATACAAAATAAATCTACTCATACCACATACAAAATAAGTCTAAATAAGTTTATCACATACAAAATAAGTTTACTACATACAAAATAAGTCTACCACATACAAAATAAGTCTACGTACTACATACCACATACAAAATAAGTCTACGACATACAAAATAAGTCTACTACAATACAAAATAAGTTTACCGCATACAAAATAAATTTACTACATAGAAAATAAATCTACATACAAAATAAATCTACTACATACATACAAAATAAATTTACTACATACAAAATTAGTCTACCAGACTACCACATACAAAATAAATCTACTATACAAAATAAATCTACACACTAAAAATATTATAAAATATTTTAATAGGTTTTTATGAGATTATTCACATAAATTTATTGTTTGATAATTTAACTCTATAATATTTTAGTTGTTACGAGATTTTATCATATAGTTAATATTAATTCATAATGTGTAAGAATATGTGTTTTTGTTATTAAGAATATGATTGAATTTCATTTATGTATATATATTTTTTGGCATGTATAATATGAATTAAGACATAAGAATTAAGATATAAATTAAACTTTAATTGTTTGAGATATAAGTTTAAATGTTTTAAAATATTTTGTAATTAAATGGATTACTAACTAAAACTTATATTTTGATATTAAAATTTTTTAATGTATTATCCGCGTTAAATCCTATATATTATTCTTTATACCTTAAGGCCATTGAATAATAAACATGCCAATGTC